AGAGGCTCATTTCCTTCCCCATTTAGGGCCCAGTACATGACGGATACTCAGGAAGTACTCAGGAAATACTTGTAGGATAAAGCTCAAAAGGAATGTGGGGAAACATTGGGAAGCATCCAAGCAGGACCAGGGAGGAGATGGGGGCAAGGGAGGCCAGCTGCCCTGTCCTAATGAGAGCAGGAAGAGGCAGATGGCCACAGCAGATCGGGGTCGGGGAGGGAGGGGGAGAAGCAGGCTGGAGGTGCTTGGAGAATGAGCCCTTCATCAAGTAGTGCATGTCCATTTGCAGGTGACAGCACAACAGGCCAGGCCCCAGGGTCTCTAGCCAGCCGGCCAGCATTGAATAAGAAGCTAGCTAGCCAAGAGAATGCATTTCCTTTTCGGGGGTCATCCCCTTGGTCATTCCCTCCTTCCCCCTGCCTCCAATCAGGATGCTATATGACCTTGTATTCTATTAGAGTAATTCCTTCTCCCTTGGAGGATAATTTGCACCTTTATAATGGCAACGGTGGCCTTGGACATCTTCCTTTCCCATCATGGACCTTGGTTTCCTTTTCTGTAAAACTAAGAGTTGTGATAAATTGGTTCCTTAAAGTCCTTTCTAGTTCTGACATCCTGAGATTCTCAGTTGTATTGACTTACTAATAAGAAGGAAAAACCTATTAGGAGTTGGGGGCTCTGTGTTGTTTCTGCTGAAGGGAGAGGGATTGCGCTGATTTCATCCACATACTGTCAGCCAGGCTTTCTGGTGACCTACAGCATGTGTTTTGATACAGATAGTCTGGTTTAGACCCAGTCTGTGACCAGATCAGGGTTCAGGCTATGACCGTGGGACCCTACACAAGTCTCTTAACCAGTGTCCAACACCGCTCTTTAAAATGACATTCAGAGGAAGGGTTAATTTTGATTGATAGGTCACACATCTGATCCCCTCTTCCTCAAAATGCTTATCATTGCTATTGAACTAAAAACCAGTGACATTTATAGAGTGTTTTAATGTTTTCAAAGCACTTTATTCACATTATTTCATTTGATCTTAACAGCAATCTTGTGAGGTAGGTGCTGTCATTATCCCTGTTTTACAGATGAGGAAACTGAGGCAGACTTACCCAAGATCCCATAGCTAGTAGTTGTTGGAGGCAAGATTTGGTACTATGTTATTTTCTGACTTAAAGTCTAGTGCTCTTTCTGATTTAGTCATCAGCAAATAATAACAATTCACATTTAACTAGAATTTTAAGGTTATCAAGCTATTTTCCTCACATTAGCCCTGGAAAGTAGACCGTATAAGTATTTTTTTGATCTGTGTTTTTCAGAAGAGGAAAAATCTCAGTTCCAAGAATTGAAATGAGTCATTGTGTGACTTGGGGCTAGTTACCTCCCTGCCCTGTACCTCAGTTTCTCCATCTGCAAAATAAAGATCTCTAAGGTCTTTTCCAACTTTATGACTTTACGATCACAAAACTCCCCCCACCCCCACCCAGAATAATCACAGGATATCAAAGCTGGAGATACATTAGAAAATATCTAATCCAAAGTCCTCATGTGACATAGAAAGGAGGAAACTGGAGCCCATAAGGAAAGGGAATTGGCCTAACATGACATTGGCAAAGCAGTGCCAGATGTGAGATTAGAACCCAGATTTCCTGAAATGACTCTTACAATAGCCCTGTGAGGGCAGTAGTGTAGGAATAATGTGCCCAATTAACAGATGAGGAGAGTAAGGCACCAAGAAGGGAAATGACCTGCCCAAAGTCTCACCTAGAGAGGTCAAAGGATCATAGATGTAGAACTGGAAAGGACCCTTAGAATCTATCCAGTCCATCTCTCTCATTTTATCGATGAGGAAACTGATGGCCAAGAATTTTAGGTGACTTATCCAAGGTCACAAAGATAGGCAACACTGGAGACAGGATTTGAACCCAGAACCCTTGGTCTTTCCAATTCACCATTCTGCCTCCAAAGTCTCCAACGCTGACAACCAAGGAATTGTAGGATGGTAGCGTTAGAACTCTAAAGGATCTCAGAGTCCAATCCTCCAGGTAAGGAAACTAAAGTCAGAGGATTTCAAATAACTTGCCCAAGGTCATAGAGAAACAAGAATTTGAACCCTTCTCACTGCAGAACCTGTGTTCTTTCCATTTTACTGCCATGTTGGGAAATAGGAATACTAGTACATAAAAGGTACTCAAATGTTTGTTAATGGATCAAGATAATTAGAGATGACGTGAGCAAATGTTGAGTTATGTGACGTAGACAGACCTATAGGAATTCCCAGGACGGAGAAATCAGCAAGGGTCAGGCATTCCTGAAGGAGGTGGAACGTGAAGGATGAAAAAGTTGGTCAACATGGTGGGGCAAGTAGAGAGACAAGGAAGTAGGAATGCTCCTAATTTAGGGAAAGGACAATGAGGAGATGGGCTGGCTGGAACAGAGGGAGGCCAAGTAATAAGGCGACAGATTGTGTTAGGCATTTTTAAGGCTTTGAATGCCAGGCTGAAGTATTTGGACTTGGTCTTTTGAAGCACCGAGCTCCCTGAGTGGGCATGAGTTCTGAGGGATGTGAGAAGCTCTGTCCCTTTCTCTCCATGACTGAGGTCTCTCAAAAGGGGTGCCTTTAGGATTCAAGCCGCACCCAGAGAATGGACCTCAATGCCCCGAAAGCAGGAGAGAGGTGGAATGCGGGGAGGTAAAGAGAGGGTGCTCTCAGGTGCATCAGTGTTCCTGGATGTGATTCTTCTTTGTGTCAGCTGGTAAAGTAGGTTAGAGTAGCTGGAGGCCAGCATAACGCTGGAGACAGATGTGACCCCAGACTGAAAGGAAGGGAAGGTGATAGAAGAAGGAGACAGGCAGATATCCAGAGAGATAGAGGCAGAGGCATAGAAAAAGATACAGAGAGGAACTGAGAGAGGGAATGACAGAGAAAGTAATAGCAAGAGAGAGGGAGAATAAGACAGACAGAGAGAGGAGAAAGACAAAGGGACATAGAAACAAGGGGAAGAGAGAGAGAGAATGACCGACAAAGTGGTAGCAAGAGAGAGGGAGAAAAAAGACAGGGAGAAATAAAGACACAGAGAGGAGAAAAACAAAAGGACATAGAAATGGGGGGGAGAGAGGGAGACGAACAAAGACAGAGACAGAGAGCTATAGACAGGGATAGAATGAAAGGGAAAGCAATAGAGACAGGGAGGGAGGGGGGAATAAAAGAAAGAAGAGGGAGGAAGGAAGGAAGGAAGGAAGGAGAAAGAGGAAAGTGGAATTATCAATATAGTTCCTTCTGTGGATATTGTGTGAGACCCTTAAATAATTGTTAGTTGTCCCACTTTAAACTGCCAAATTCCATTCCACCCCTATACTATTCAAATACCCTGAGATATAGTTGAGAACAGCAGGTGGGGATCTTAGCTCAAAGCCCTATGAATGTGAGTAAGGGATTAATTACTAGGATGAACAGACAGAGGGGAAAAGAATCTTAGAATGTGAGAACTGGAAATCACCTTAGAACACAGATAGAATTTAGAGCTCTGAGGGACCTTTGAAGCAATCTGCTCCAAATCTCTTCCTTCCCCCACCCCCGTTTGACAAGTTGGGGAACTGAGGCCCAGAGAGGAGAAGTAACTTACTCATAATTGCGGTGAATTATTTTCAGAATCAGGTCGACAGGCTTTTGATCCTGGTGGGAAATTATCAGGTGCATTTCTATAGAATCTCTTGTTTTACAGGCAGGAAAGCGAAGGTCCAGAAAGGTTAATTCCTAACTTCCTCCATACCCTAGATTTCTTTGTACATCCTTTAAAATGTATTTTTGATCCAGACTTGTGATTTCACTTATCTAGAGCAGGGGCTGGCATGGCAGGGAGATGTCTGGGCTGCCTACTAGACTTAGTGCCTGCTCCCCAATGAGGAGAGCAAGACCCCAGGGTGGGAGCTGGAGAACCTAATAAGAGAATCTTAATAAGCCTTGACGTACTATAGAGATGCAAGCTTTTCTCCTGCCTTGGCTTGAAGTCTTTAATCACAGGGAGCTTATTGTCTTCCAAAGAAGTGAATTCCTTTATTGGATAGCTACGATTATTAGAGTGGTCTTTGTAGCTGGTGACCTTGATGCCTTTTCTTCCTTCTGCAATGAATGAGCCTCCTTCGTCTGCCCAGTCTTGGGTTGTGCTCTGCTTGGGGGTGGGGGGAGAGGCAGAAGTTGGATACCCAGTTGGGGAGAGACGAGCCTTCTTCTTTACTCCTCCCTCACCACAAAAGAGAGAGAGAGAGAGAGAGAGAGAGAGAGAGAGAGGGAGGGAGAGCACCAAATGTCAAGTGCTTGGCTGTGGGACTAGTCAGTGAGTGCTTTAGGAGGACAGAAAGGTCAGTATTGGCTAGGCAAGGTCAGGGAGGGTAGGCAGGGAGCCAGGAGGATGTCAGCCCTGAGTCTTTCCTTGAAGAATGGTTAGGAAAGGAAGGGAGTACCTTTCCGAAAGCAGGAGGAGGAAAAGAATGAAAGAAAGGAGGAGGCCAGTGAGAACACATTTCATTTCTAGTCTCAGGTTAAATCTCATTCCTCCATCCTCCTGACACTGCCTCCCCAAGAAACTAACGATGTCATGGGGTCACGGACAAAGCCTTAGACTGGGAGCCAAGAAATAGGGGTTCTTGTCCTGACTCTGCCGCTGACTTGGAGCCCCAACCTTCTGCCCCCTGCCGTTCATGGCCTTGTGGCATGGAAAAAGCTAGAAGGTTCCATGGGTTCCACTGCATTGCAGACTCTTTATTTATAGAAGAGGGACCCTAGGCCCAGAGAGGGAAAGGGGCTTCCCAATTTAGCAAGTGAGTCGGGGCTAGGTTTGAAGTCTAATCTACCCCTTCCCACTCCATATGAGTCCGTCCCATTTGCTTCTATTACATTTTTCCATTCCTTCCTATGCCAGGGGTTGACACTGACATGTTCCCTTCCCCCACGGGGTATGTGTGTGTGTGTGTGTGTGTGTGTCTCTCTCTCCCTCTTGCAGAACATGGAAAAGGTGATTGTCCCCTCAGTCACTCTCATCGTGGGCTGCGGCGTGTCCTCCCTGACCCTGCTACTCCTCATCATCATCTACGTTTCTGTGTGGAGGTAGGCAGGCGACTGACGGGTTCTCAGGAAGCCCCTTGGGATGTGGATGGGGGCCTGTTGGCTGCGGGGGGTGGGGAGTGGACGGCTTTCAGACTTGATGTGGCAACAGTCGCTGTCCTGACTGCCTTGTCTTATCAGATGTTTCGGTGTCGTTTGGATGGGGCAAATCTGGGTTTCAATTCTGACACTGATAAATGTTTGACCCTGGACCTCTGTTGCCACATCCATAAAATGGGGAGAACAAACTCATTTCCCATCCCTTCTCTCCCTTCCTCCTTTCATTCTTCCTTTGTTTCCTCCTTTCCTTCCTTCCTTCCTTCCCTCCTTCCCTTTCTCCTTCCCTTCATTCCTTACTAATTCCCTTCCTTTTTCCTTCCCACGACATTGTGAAAGTTAAATGACCTGGGATTTTGACAAGTGGGGCTTTGAGGCAGTGTGGGGTAGTGAATAAGGCACTGGAGTCAAAAAAACCTGAGTTCATATCCTGCCTCAGAGGCTTACTCGATGTCCTACCTTGAGTGAGTCATTAACTCTCTGTGTCTCAGTTTCTCTTAGCTACAAAATGAAGGGGTTGGACTGTGTCCTCTAAGGTCCCTTCTAGCTCTAAATCAGTGGGGTAGATCAGTCCATAGGCTAGTGCTGGGGGAGTGACTGCTATATGCCCACCCTGATGCTTGCTTTAGGACACTTACCACGTGGCTCACAAGAGAAAGACAGTATTAGAAAGACAAGACACCTCAAATGCGAGTCAGGAGACTGAAGTTTGTCTATGCAGTGGCTTACGTGAATGGGGGGGGATGCTTCCTGTACCTCAGTTTTCCCCTCTGTAACCAAGGGAGAAGAATACTTTCCCTGACCTGATTATCTCCCAGAGGGTTTTGTGAAGATTTAATGGAATTCTAAGTGCAATCATGCTTTAAAAAGTTAGAGCCCTATTCAGATTTAGCACATTAACGCTAGAATGACCTTAGAACATAGAACACAATATAAAATCCAGAGGAGGACTTCAAGATCAACTAATACAACCTTCATATTTGACAGATGGAAAAACTGAGGCCCAGAGAGGGGAAGGGACTTACGCAGGGTCACCCAGCCAATCAGTGACCATGATGGAATATTATGATAAATTGTTTTTATAGGTGGGGAAATTATCTCCCAAAGTCCTAGGAACCAGCTACTGGTTTATTTCCCCAGAGGCATCAGCCAACATGATCTGATCTCTTTTCTCACCCCCACCCCTTCCTCACACTCAGCTGCCAATCATCCTGAATTCTGGTAGAAAAGGAAAATGGAACCAGCTCCCTACACTGGGGTCACATCGACCTGTTCTGCCTGCAGGGCTGCCCGACCCTGGGAGCCTGTCGGGAACTGTCAGGTTCAATTATCAGTGACGTCATACTGGCTAATGACCTTATCCGGCTGGCTGGGGCTGACTCCAGAAGCAGCTGGGTGTATCCATGGAAAGCACTCTGGGCAGGCAGTTACAGAACTTCTACCTCTGGTTTGCTTTGTGACCTTGGACTAGTCACTACCTTGTTCTGTGGTTTCTTGTACAATTACGGCATCAGAGAATGTGATCTCCAAGGTCCTGTGCAACTCAGGCATTTGATGTTTTACTGTTCTCTATTCCAGATTTCTTTTGAGCTCTAATAGGCAGCTAGATAGAGGGCTAGGCCTGGAGTCATCCTCCTGAGTTCAAATCCAGCCTTAGACACTTACTAGCTGTGTGACCCTGGGCGAGTCACTTAACTCTGTTTGTCTCAGTTTCTTCATTTGTAAAATGAACTGGAGAAGGAAATGGCAAACTACTCCAGTACCTCTGCCAAAAAAACCCCAAATGGGGTCACAAAGAGTCAGACATGATTGAAATGACTGAACAACAACAAAATTGTATGTTCTGTGTTCTAAGGGCCTTTCCAGTACTAACACTCTATGTTCTAAAACATTCTCTGTGCTAACGCCCCTTTGTCCTGTAACGTTCCCTATTTCAAGGTCCCCTCTAGTTCTAACATTCTGTATTTTGTCGTTTAAACGCTCTGTGTCCTAAGACACATCTCTAACAGCCTATGACCTGTTTTTAGACCCAAAGGACCCAATTGGGCTGGTTTTTGTTTGTTGGGAGGGAGGGGATTGGCAAAGATTTTCATCGACTTCACATATCTGAGGGATTGGATAGACTGAAGCAACCAGTTGTTTTGCGCCTCGGGGTTGTTGACTGCTCCAGTATGCACTTCAGTCCTTACTATACGCACTCACATGTATACCCTTACACATACACTCTCTACAGTTACATATACCCATTTCCACTCACAAACATGCTTACATACACAGGTTCACACATCTATTTGCACACACCACATGCACATTCACTAGGATACATATGCACATACACACTCTCACCCAAGACAGTATGTGGGGGCATATCATATACACAAATATTGATCAAGTGGGCTAGCCATACACAGATGGTTGCAAAGTGAGGACAGAGACATGGGACAACATACAGAGAGCCAGAAGGGACCCTACAGGTCTTCTGACTCCATCCCTGTATTTTATAGGTGAGGGAAGGGAGGACCTAAGAGGTAGGAAGTGATGGAGCTGGAATTTGAACCCAGGTCCCATAACTCCAAATTGATTACTTTCTCTTTTGACTTGATATTGGTCCATGTTGGGTTCTATACCCCCCATGAAGGAGTTCCCTGAGGCCACAGTGGATAATGTCTCCTGTGGCATGTAAGTGACACAGAACCTTTCATTCTCCAGAAAAGGGTAAAGTTTTTTTTATTTGTGTTTTGTTTTGTTTTGTTTTGTTTTTTGTCCAGTTTTTTTTCACAATGTAGACACAGTCTAATAAGAATCTGACTCTTTATGTCCCTTCTCCTGTAGTGTCATTGTGGGGCTAGGATCATGGCTATTGTCATTGGCTCTCTATGGCTTATACCTCAGACCATGAGAAATTTTACAGGACCGTGCTGATCGTAGATTTAGGACCAAAAGGAAAATGAGGGGGTGATAAAATTTAACCCCTTCATTTAACAGGTAATGATGAGAACTAGAGTAGTTAAGTGAATTGTTCAAGGTTACACAGGTCTTAAGAGAAAGAGACAGAATCTGTGCCTAATCCTTTGATTCCAAGTGCAACACACTTTCTACTGGATGATACTCTTTCCCAAGACCTGATAAAGTCTTTGGAATAGGGAATATGATGATGATGGGATGATGGATTATCTTTGATGATGATGACACAGGTGTTGGAGATGATAACAGTGATCATGGTAATGGTGATTTTATTGAATGTGATGATGATGGTGATTATGGAGATGATGGTGATTGTGGTAATGGTAATGTTGATTTTATGAGATGTTGAGCTTGCTAGCCAATGAAAGAGAGAAGAGAGAGAGAGAGAGAGAGAGAGAGAGAGAGAGAGAGAGAAGAAAAAGAAGAGAGACAGAGACAGACAGAGACAAAGATAGATAGAGACAGAAAGTAATGCTAGTGGTGATGGTTATTATATAGATGGGGACTGGGGATGATTGTGATTATGTTCTCATGTGCCATCATCTGATGGCAATCATGGAGTTAGAGATAGGTGATTGTGGTAATGGTACTGTTGCTTTCATAAGATGGTTACCTAGCTAGCCAGCTACATGGAGAGAGAGACACAGAGATGGAGAGAGACAGAGAGGCAGACAGAGACAGAATAATGCTAGTGATAATGGTTATTATATAGATGGCAATGATTGTGATTATGTTTTCACCAGCCATCATCAGGTGATTATGGAAATGATGGTGATTGTGATAATGGTAATGTTGATTTTACAAGATGGTTACCTAGCTAGCCAGCGAGATGGAAAGAGAGACAGAGACAGAGAGACAGAAAGACAGAGAGACATACAGAGACAGAGAGAGAGTAATGCTAGTGATGATGGTTATTATATAGATGGGAATGATTGTGATTATGTTTTTACCTGCCATCCTCTGATGGTGACTATGGAGCTGATGGTGATGTTAATTTTATATCCAGTACTACTGTACTGATAGTAATTCTATGTAGTGATACTTATGAAGATGAGTGTGATGTTGATGGTGATGATAGGACTGGTGTTGGCAGTAATGGTGATGCTGAAGTCAGTTACATAGATGGTGATATGATGGTGCTCATTGTAATGATGCTGAAGAGGGTGTTTGGTGATCATGTAGGTAGTGAGAATAGTGAGGATGAATGATGAAATAGTGGTGTTGAAGCTGATTATATATAGATGGAAGGGTGTATGGGTATTCAAGGAACACTAGCACCTCTAGTGTGAGGGCTGCTTATCCACCTTTGGTGTCTGCCTGGCCCTCAGCTCTCACCTCTGCCTCCAAGAAGCTGTAGCATGTGCAGCAGCCACACCCCAGTAAAACCATTTTGGCAAATGGATTAAACCAGATTGAGGATACCAACAAGAATCAAACCTATCAGTGAGTTAGGGGATGTCTGCCCCAAACATGGGAAGACTTTCCTGGTAGAATGGGTGGATGAGAATAATTTGCTGCAGTAGCCACGAAGGTGCCTGAAGCAGGCATTGTGGAGCACTTAGAGCTTGGTCAGACATTGAAGATGCCAAGGTCGTCTACTGCATCCCAGGCCATCGCCAGTGATCCTAACTTTTGTCTTGCCACTGGACTTTGATGCCAGGAAGAGGGAGTGAGGTTGATGGCAGTGTGAAACTCTGCCTCACTTAAATCCAATTCACCCACAAGTCAAGACATCACTCTGTCATGTCATGGGTCCTCTTCAAAAACAAAGAACAGACAACATATAGACGGGGATGACCATTATGTAAATGTGAGGGATGGGATAGGAGCTAGACCTGGGTGATGAAACTTCCTCTACCAGTACATGCCAGCATGTTATCTGCCATTTATGGTTTTCGAGCATTACCTAGAGAAGAGGTGTCAAATACAACCAGTGCAGCCTGAAGCAGATTAAAATGTAATTTTAGCGAAATAAATAAGAATATAATAAAATATAGATAATGTGAATGTGTTGTTTTCTAAGTCATGAATTCTTATGTATGGTTTAGTGGCTCCCCCTTTCTATTTGAGTTTGACACCACTGGCCTGGAGCATTAATTTTCTTGTCCAGAGGTCCACAACCAGTATGTGTCCAAGGCAGGACTTGAACCCAGACTGTCCTGGCTTTGAGGCCAGCTATCTACTTGATGCAATAGTCTCTCTTATGATGAGGATGTGATTATGTCAATGATTAAGATGAAGTCAGTGAAGGCAATCATGATGGAAATGATGATTCTAAATGACTGGGCCACTTCCCAACTTAGGGTCCCTGAACAAAACACCAGGACCTATTGAAGGTATTTCTAAGACATTGGAACTGGTCCAGTGCCCTTCTTTTTCTTCTCTTCTCCAGGTATATCCGCTCTGAAAGGTCTGTTATCCTAATCAACTTTTGCCTCTCTATCATCTCTTCCAATGCCCTCATCCTCATTGGGCAGACCCAGACGCGAAACAAGGTAAGAATGCTCCTCAGATCCCACCCCACCCTTACAAATCACTAAAAACAGTGGATTCTCAGTTCAGTCCTAGCACGGGGATCTCCTAACACAATCGATAACCAAAATCCATCGAGATGATGCAGACAGAGGGCTTTATAGCTGAAAATGATTATGTTCGTGCAAGTTATCATTGCTAGATTCACAGAATTCCACAGTTGTGATAGATCTAAGAGATCCTTAATTTGGGCAGGGGGGTGAGGGAGGACAAACTTGGATGGGAAGATAAATTACATCTTTATTTTCAGTAACCTCTAACTGAAACCAAGCATTTTCTTCAACTAGAGGCAGCTAGGTGGCTCCATGGATAGAGTGCTACACTTGGAATCAGAAAGACAGACCCAAGTTCAAATCCTGCCTCAGACACTTACTAGCTATGTGACCCTAGGCAAGTCACTTAACTCTTATCTACCTCAGTTTCTTCAGCTGTAAAGATGATAATAAAGTTCATAATAGCATACCTTCCTTCCAGAGTTGTTGTGAGAATAAAATGAGCTAACATTTATGAAACATTTTTTCAAAATTTAAAGCATTATATAAATGCTACTGATGAAGAGGATGATGATGGTGGTGGTGGTGATGATGATGATGATGGATATAGGCAATATATTATTCTGAGGTCTCCATGAGCTTCATCAGATTTCAAAAGAGGTCCTCGGTTAAGAATTTCTGATTTGACCCAACCCTCTCAATCTGTAGAGGTAAAAAGGAGGGGGGAAACTGAGACCTAAAGAGGAAAGTAACTTTCCCAAGATGTCACAGGAGGCGAATAATGGAGCTGGCTTTTGATCAGCAGTCTTCACATTCCACACCAAGTGCTCTGTCTTCTATTTGCTCTGTCCACACGCAGGAGGCCCCTTATCATCTCTCCTTGAGAGAGCGATCCATCCTGTCCTTCTAAAGGAAGTCCCTTATGTTCTGGGTCAGTTCAAATTATTTGGAAGTTCTTCCTTGTGGTGACAAAAATATCCCTCCCTATAATTTTCCCTCCATTGTTCCTAGTTCCGCCCACTAAGGCAAAGCAGAATAAGTCTGAACCTTTCTTCTGTATCATAGCTCTTCAAATACTGAAAGACCTTTATCGTGTACCTCCTAAGTGTTCTTTTCTCCGGGCTAAAAATCCCCAATTCTTTTCAATTGATCCTTCTATGGCATGGTCTCTAAACCCCTCACCATCCTGATTGCTCTTTTCTGGACATATTCTAGCTAGCTAATGTCCTTCCTAAATGGTAGTACCCAGAACTTAGTCAATCAACAAGCATCATTAAGTGCTTACCATGTGCCAGGCACAGTGCTAAGCTTTGGCACTACAAAGAAAGGCAAAAATACAGTCCCTGCCCCACAGGAGCTCACGATCCCACGGAGAAGGCAACATGCAGATAACTGTACGTACAAGATATCCACAGTGGAAATGAAGAACTGAACATGAGTGGGGTCTGACCAGGGTGAAGGCCATTGGGATCATCCCCTGCCTCGATCCAGACCCTGCTGTGCCTTTATTCGCTCAGGCTAAGATCACACTTGAGTGTTTTGGCTCTTACTCCGTACTAGGCCATACATTTCTGTGTGTGAAGAGTTTTTGGAGAAGGGTGCTTGAAAAGTTGTTTTCAACTATTTTAATCCTTTGGGGATTAAACAAAAGGGAATAACCCCAACTAAAACCAGAGGGAATGCAGTCAAATGGAAGGAGACAATGAATCATCTCAGGCGCATGTCATAGAGGGAAAAGCCCCAGAGTGGATGGTGGTAACCCCAGATTCCCTTTCAGCCTTTACCACTGAACTTGCCACGTGACCTTGGCCAAGTCACACTTCCCTCCCTATGTCTCAGTTTCATTATCTGCAAAACAAAAAGGTTGGACTAAGGTTGCTTTTAGCTCTGACCTTCTTTGATAAAGTAACTTAATAGTAATTCCTTACTCTAATGACACTATTTCTAGTACTTCATTTCCCTGGTAGGAAATGCCCCGGGGAGGCATTAAGGAGCCTCTTATACTCAGTCAATTGTGACTTTTCCCCAGCCACAGATTGGACCCTAACTTTTGGGCCAGGGTGAAAGAGCCTTGATCTGACTGAACAGGACTCTGGTGGGATCACATCCTAACGTCACAGACTCAGCATGAATCCTAGTCATAAAATCAGCCACAATCCGGGTCACTGGATCTGAAAGCTGGCCCCAGATTGAGGCAGAAATCCATGTCCGGACCAAGCCCGAGTGATGGCCATAAGGGAGCTCTAATCCTGTTGTCATAGACTGAACCCCCACTCCCAGTCAGGGACTGAGCCCTAATCCAGGCCTTTGGTTGAATATTTACCCTGCTTATATACTGAGTGTAACTAACCCAGGTTGCAGCCTGAGCCCCCTGACCCTGGCGAAAGGTAGCCCTTGTCTACCTGTTATCTCCCACACGCTCTGGGCTGCCATGGTGTGGGGTTCACAGATGGCTCGGTGCAGCTCCTCCCTGCTCTAGCGGAAGCAGCTCAGAGGCCACTGGAGAGGCAGGGGAAGGGGTCTGGACCGTAGCGCGCTGTTCTGAGGGGTCAGGCTGGTGGACACATCCCGTCCCCATCCTCCCCCAACTTCCAACGCCTGGCATGGACCCTGCATTCCCTGCCCAGGTGATCTGCACGCTGGTGGCTGCCTTCCTACACTTCTTCTTCCTGTCCTCCTTCTGCTGGGTACTCACCGAGGCTTGGCAATCCTACATGGCCGTCACCGGGAGGCTTCGTAACCGCATCATCCGCAAGCGCTTCCTCTGCCTCGGCTGGGGTGAGTGGACCGGAGATCCCTCCCATGGCCCGGGCAAGGGGGTGGGTGGGACAGAGAACAGTGCCCTGGCTTGGGAGGAGGGACACCTGGGCTCCGTCCTAAAAGGAGGCATTTGGACCTCGACAATCTCTATATCCCTGCTATCTCTGTATCCTGGATTTTGTATCTCTCCTACTCTGCATCCTGGTTCTTTAGCTGGGCTCACCCAGTTCCCTTGCCTTATGTTGAAAAAAGATATGTTTTGGGTTTTTTTATCAGACTGTTTGCCTCAGTTTCTTCATCTATAAAATGGGGATAGTAATAGCATCTACCTCCCAGAGTTGTTCTGAGGATGAAATGAGATAATAATTGCAAAGTGTTTAGGACTGTGCCTGGCACATAATAAGCACTATCTAAATGTTAGCTGTTATTATTATGATTATTCGTTGTTGTAAGGATCAAATAAGATCATATTTGTAAAGCACTTTGCAAACCTTAAAGCACTATCTAAATGGTAGCTATTATTTTTATGATTATTATTACTGATGATGATGATAATGATGATGATGATGATAATAATAATAATAATAATAGCCAGTAGTGTAACATGGCCACCAAAAACCTTATGCCATTCTAGGCTCCATTAAAAGAGGCATCACTCAGACTGAGGAAGGCAGTAGTGCCAATGTCCTGTGCTTCACCTAGGGCATTGTATTTAGTTCTGGGAGAAGTCTGTCTACGACAGACACTGACAAGCTGGATTGCTTCCAAAAGATGGTGATCAAATAGCAAAAAAGACCAGAGACCATGACTTATGTGCATCCACCGAAAGGATGGGGATGTTTAATCTGGGAAAGAGAAGATTAAGTGGGGTCATCGTAGCCGTCTTCATTCTGATTATTCCTTGGAGAAGAGGGATTCCACTTGCTCAGACTGGCTCTAAAGGGCAGCACTCGGTACAGTCAATAGCTAGAATTTGCAGAGAAGCCGATGTAGACTTCGTCCTTTAAGAATGACTTTGTAGCAGTGGATAGAGCACTGGCCTAGGAGTCATGAGGACCTGAGTTCAAGTCCAGCCTCAGACACTTGACACTTACTAGCTGTGTGACCCTGGGCAAGTCACTTAACCCCATTGCCTAGCCAAAAAAAAGCCTTTCTAACAACAAGAGCTCTCCAGAGGTGAGATAGACTGCCTTGGGAGGTGGCAGGTCACCCTTGCTGGTGATTTACAAGCAGAGGATGGTTATGGTGGTGGTGGTGGTGGTGGTGGTGGTTCTGCTGTTAAGAAGAGATTTCTCTTCAGGTACAAGTTGGACAAGATAGTCTTGAGATCAGTTAACAAACATTTGTCAAGTGCTTAATATGTGTCTGGTACTGGGGACAGGAAGACAAAAATGAGATGGTCCTTGTCATCTAGGAGATAATGTGCTATTGGAGGAGACAATCTGTACACACATAAGCATTCACAAAGTCTGCACAAAGTAAATAAATGGTAAATTTGGGGTAGCGGAAAACTAGGAAGTGTTTGGAATCGGAAAGTAGATGTTACATGATGATATATAAGGTGGTACTTGAAATGAGCTCTGAGGGAAGCTAGACACTCTAAGAGGTAGAGCTAAGGGGCTAAGGTAATGCTAGGCATCGGGGATAGCCCATGCAGAAGCGTGGCGATGAAAAAATGGAGTGTTGTGTGTGAAGAACAGCAAAAAGAAAAAGAAAAAAAAGACTAGTTTGGCTTGACTGCAGCATGGGTAAAAGGGAGTAATTGTGTAATAAGCCTGGAAAGGCAGCCTGGAAACTGATTGTGATGGACTTTAAATGTCTAACAGAGAAATTAACATCTGATCCTAAAGGCAATAGGGAGCCACTGGATTTTATTGAGCAGCAGAGGGACATGGTAAGACTTGTGGTTTAGTGATATCATGTTGGCAGCTGAGGAGGAGTGAGAAGACCTGAAGTGGGGAGACCAATTTCAATAGTGCGTCCAGAAGGCGATGAGGGACTGAGCTAGGGTGATGACTCTGCAATTGGGGAGAAGTTAGGTAGACAAGACTTGGCAAATGAAGGGTGAGGGAGAGTTAATATTGGATGTAGACTCAGGTTGAGGATATGGACGCCTGGAAGGATAGTGGTATTGACAGAAATGGGAAAGTTACGAAGAGAGGTAGGTTGAGTTGGCTTGGCTTGGCTTGAGTTAGAAGGAATAGAGATAATGAGTTCTTAATCAAGTTGGAAGTATCCAATAAATATTTGTGATATGGGACTGGGACCCAGGAGAGATATCAGAGATGGACATGTAGTCATCTTTGTAGAGATAATAACTGGACCCATGAGAGTTGATTAAGTCACCAAAAGAGAAAGTTCAGAGACAGAAGAGAAGAGGGCTCAGGACCAAATCTTGGAGTACATCCGTGGTTAGCAGACAAGATGATGATGGTCCAGAAAAAAGTGACTGAGAAAGAGCAGTCAGACAACTAAGAAAGAGCAGTCACAAAAACCCAGAGAGGAGAGGATGGCCAGTGAGAGAGGGTGACCAACAGTGTCAAGTGATGCTGAGAAAGAAGTCTGGAAGGTTGAGGATGGAGAAAGGCCCATCGGATTTGTAACTTATGCAATCACTGCTATCTTTGAAAAGAGTAAGTTACTTCTAACTCTGGAACTCCTTGAACTCTAATCCCTCTTCTGCTAATCCCTCTGTCTACTGCATGACAGCCTTTCAGATTCTTAAAGAAAACTGTTATGCTTCCCCACCCCTCCACCCCGACATCTTCTCCAGGTTAAACATCCCCAACAAAGTTTCGTTTGGCCTGGCCTCCAGGAAAACCCCAGGGCCCTAACCCTGATTTACCAAAGTCCTTCCCAAAGTGTGGTGCTTGGGACTTAACACAGCCCTCCTGATACACTCTGACTAGGGCACAGCATAGCAGGACTCTCTCCTTTCTTTCTCTTTTTTTTTTTTTTTAACTATCTCCTTTCTCATTGTAGTATTGGGTATCTCTTAATGCTGCTCCAGTTCAAGTTTAGGGTTTTGGCTTCCATGTTATAGTGTTGGCTCCTATCAAGCTTGCAATCACAGAATTTCAGAATTTTATTATTACAATGGATTCCAACAGCCATAGAGTTCAACTCGTGCTTGGAAAAACAAAACAACCCCCCCCCACCATTGGGCAGCTAGGTGGTATAGTGGATAGAGTGCCAGGCCTGAAGTCAGGAAGACTCATCTTCCTGAATTCAAATCTGGCCTCAGTAATAGCTGTGTGACCCTGGACAAGTCATTGAACCATGTTTGCCTCAGTTTCCTCATCTGTAAAATGAGCTGGAAAAGAAAATGGCAAACCACTCCAGTATTTTTGCCAAGAAAACCCGAAATAGGGTCACAAAGTCAGATACAACTGAAAAACAACTAAACAACAACAATACTACACTACAACAGACCAGATAAGTGGTCATCTACACATTGCTTAAAAACCACCTATCATGGTAAACCTCTGGAGGTAGGTCGTTCCACTTTTAGACAGCCCTAATTAGGAAAGTTGGTACTGACCCACCCCTCTGCCCCTCCCCCAACCTTCAATCTTAGTTTTCTCCTTTGTAATTTCCATTTATTGCTTTTCATTCATCTCCTTGGGTCTAATTGCTCCTTCACATGTTGAAACTCTGAGCCAGCCCTGAGCACAGCCCCTCCACAATGCAGGTGCTAAAGAAAGGAAGTGAAAGTTCTTCTGATGCTTAAAGATAGACATCATGTTCCCCCTAAGTCTTCTCTTCAAACATCCCCAGTTCCTTCAATCTAATCTCATATGGCATGGGTTTCCCTCTCCTGGTTCCCTTCCCCTATATGTTCTTCAGTTTATCAATCAATCAGCATTTATTAAGCACCTACTATGTGGCACTGTGCTAAGATTATACCCTTCCTCAGTTGTGGTGCCCAGAATTAAGCATAGTATTCCAGATGTGGAGTGCAATTCACTAAGACCTTCAGATCCTCTTCACACAAACTGCTATGTAGCCAAGCCTCCCCTTGTCTTTCTGCAGTCCACTACAGGACTTTACATTTTTATGGTTCCCCAACTTGACTATCACCCACATGATCAGGCTGTTGAAATTGTCACAGATTCTACCTCTGGACATTGAGCTGATGGGGTTTGTGGTAGTGCATGAGAGGGCAGCTGGATAACAGGAGGGGTGAGGAAGCTGGGATCTGACAATACCTTCATTTTTGGCATTTCCCTCTTTAGGGCTTCCTGCTTTGGTCGTGGCCATTTCCGTAGGATTTACCAAGGCTAAAGGCTACAGTACGGTGAACTAGTAAGTATTGAGACATCGCCTCCCTTCCCCCTCCCCATGCTAGGACTCTGCCCCCAGTTATGGCTCAGCTGAAGGCTGGAGAATGGGAGTTGGCTGGAATACTCATTCTCCAACACAGACCCCTTCAGGTGGTTTCTCTAGTCATTCATCCATCAAATATCTCCTGGGCACTGAGCTCAGGGATGAATTAGACCTGAGCTCATAGTCTAAAGGGACTAATGGGAGGGGATGAGAGACCCAAATGCTGGAGACTTCATGATATCGAAAGAAATCATTGAATATGGACTCAGAAGACCCGAGTTCAAATCTCAAATCCTTTACTAGCTGTGTGATATTGGACAAGGTTTTTAGGGTCATCGGATCAGAGATTTAGAGCTGGGACGGATCTCAGAGGCCATGTAGTACAGCCCCTTCATTTTTTAGAAGGAGAAACAGAGGGCCAGGGAAGTTAATTTGTTCCTCTCTGAGCCCAAATTTCTCCAGCTGTAAAAGGAAAGTGCTGGGTTTGTTGTTGTTTAGTTGTTTTTCAGTCGTGTCTGACTCTTTGTGACCCCATTTGGAGTGTTCTTGGCAAAGACACTTAAGTGGTTTGCCATTTCCTTCTCCAGTTCATTTTATAGATGAGATTAAGTGACTGGCCCAGGGTCACACAGCTAGTAAGTGTCTGAGGCTGGATTTGAACTCAGGAAGATGAGTCTTCCTGACTCCAGGCCCAGCACTCTATCCACTGTGCCTCCTAGCTACCCAGCTGTTGGATTACCTGACCTTTAATGTCCCTCTTGGTTCTGAATCCTATAAAACAAGATAGATGATCCATGCAGCCATGTGACCTTGGGCAAATCACTCTCCTTTGTGAGTCTCAGTTTCTTTATCTGCAAAGAGGGACTCGTGCTATCTGAGCCACTCTACTTTAAAGGTGAAGAAAATATTTTACAAGCACCTCAGAAACCTATTCTTAGATAAAGTAAGGGTGGGATCAATGCTGTAAGATAAGAGACTCTGGGTTATGGGGGCCCAGAGGAAGGAGAGAGCTTTTCTGATTGAAGAAGAGTCAGGAAGGCTTCTTGGGAGAGGTGGCACCTGAATTTAGCCTTTGAAGGATGGGTAGGATTTTAGCAGACAAAGCTGTTGGGGAAGATGTGAGAAAGAGAAGAGGGAAAGCATATTTCAGGCAAAGGGAAAAAATCATCAGCAAAGGCAAGAAGTGACAAAGTAAGACTTATGTTAGGAAGCAAGTAAATTGGCCATAAGAACATAGGATTTAGAGCCAAAAAGGACCTTGTTGAGCATCGAATCCCATCCTCACCTTATTTCAGAGTTGCTGAGTGAGATCTAGAGAGGAAAAGTGACATCTCCATAGGTGGACAGATAGTTAAGTGGCAGAGCCACAACTTGAGTGACTAATGAGTGATTGAACATCTATTAAGCTCTTACTACATGCCAGGCACTGTGCTAAGCACCAGAGATACAAACACAAATAAATGAGACAATTTCTGCCCTCAAGGAACTTACATTCTAATGGGGGAAGACGATACATAAAAGGGAGCTAGAAAGAGAATGATGACACACGTTGGCATTGGCATGGTTTGGAAATGGATGGAAAGTAACGTGGTCTGGTTCCTGGTAAAAGAAGATGAAAGTTTCCTCTCAGAGCTCAGGGTCCTAGGGACAAAGTCCGGGTGCTGGGAGAGGGAGTGTCTTTCAATACCAAATTTAGTGGAAGAGTCTGGTTCATTTTTGTCTTAATACTGCCAACACCAAGGGCTGGTGCTAAATAAATGAAGTGAGTTTCCATTTAAGTATTTTCTTTGGCTGGAGCAATGTGAAGGAGTGAAGAGTTAGAGGCAGGTTGGACCCAGACCATGGGGAGAGTCTGGAGTGCCAGTATGAAGAGTGTGGAGATGTGTATATATACATATACACACATCTACATATACACACACATATATATATATATATGTGTGTGTACATTCATTTGTATGTCATCTCCTCTGTTAAATTGTAAGCTTCTGGAAGGCAGGTACTGTCTTTTGCCTCTTTTTGTATCCCCAGAACTTAGCAGAGTGCCTGGCACGTAGGAGACGCTTAATAAATGTTTGCTGATCCACTGGACTTTTTCCTGAAGGTAGTGAGTCACTGCATAGATGTTCTGAGCAAGGGAGTGACTTGAGATTCAGTATGGGAGAGTGGAAAGAGCAAAAAGGTTTGGGTTCAAATCCCACCTTTGATGCTTACTACCTGTGTGATCTTGGACAAGTTTCTGGGACTCAGTTTCCTGCTGTGGAAAATGAAGGAGGCTGGATTAATTGGTCTCTGAGGTCCCTTTTGGCTCTAAATCTATGAACCTCTGATCAGAGCTGGGCTTTAGAAATATGACTCAGGCATATTGATTTAGAAGGAGAGAGACCAGCAGCCAGAAGATGAAGTAGGAAACCATTGCCATAGTTCGGTGGGGGTGTATTGAAGGTCTGGATTAGGAGGACAAAGACAACAGGGCCTCAGAACCCATAGGAATAGTGGTGTAGTCATCGTTCCAGCATCAGAGAGACGGAGGTGAAGGAGGAAGGAGGATTTAGAGAGAGGCAGTGCTGGCTTCAGTGAGGGGGCAGGAAGATGATGAGTATGGCATTTGGGAGGAAATTGGAGAAGCAGAAGAGAGAGAAAGGAGGAAGCCCAAGGGGGATATCAGGAGCCTGGGATCTTATCGGTGGGGCACTGGCTGCCCACGGCATCACGCAAAGAGAGACCTCGGCACCTGGGCACCAGCCCCTGCTGATGTCTGTGATTCAGGCAAAGGGGGGCGGAAATGCAAAGACAGAGGGGGAGAAAAACAATAACAAGAAAGAGACTGAGAGACAGAATGAGACAGAGGAGACAGAGAAAGAGACAGAAACAAAGAGAAAAAATGAGGACAAAGACAGAGCGAGAAGCGGAAGCATGGAGAGAGAGAAAGAGGGAGGGAGGGAGACAGAGGGTGAGTCAAAGAACGAACCAGAGAGACAACAGGAGAGATACACACAGAGACAATGTGACTGAGAGAGAAAGTGGGACACACACACACACACACACACACACACACACACATGCACACGCGCACACACACACACACACACGCACATACCCATCTGTATAATGGCGAAGCAGACAAAGAGAGCAGCGTAAGTGCCCCAGTGCTAGAGCCAGCTTTGTGTGGTGGGCAGTTAAGAGACTTGGGTTCAAAAACTAACCAGCGCCATCTTGGACAAATCCTCCCTGGGCCTCAGTTTCCTCATCTATAAAAAGGGGCTAATTTTTCCTGAATTGACTCCTTCGTGGGGTCATTGTGTGGAAAGGGCTTTATAAATTTTAGAGCTAAAAAGAAATGGGAGTTATTAGGTTTGCCAAACGAGAGAAGGGTCTAGAAAACCTTTTCGGAAGATCTAATATGCTTTATTATATGGATCCCAGAATGTCAGAGCCAGAAGAGACCTTAGCAATCATCTAGTACCGCCAATCCATCATTTTACAGATGCGAAAATCAAGGCACTTTACAGGGAAGTTGGGGACGGTGGAAAGAGCACTGAATCTGGAGTCGGAGGATCTGGGTTCAAATTTTACCGCTGATAACTCTCCGTGTGACTCTTCTAAAGTCTCGGGGCCTCAGTTTCTTCATCTGTAAAATGGAGGTGTTGGATTGCATGACCTCTGATGTTCCTTTCAGCTCTGAATCTATGATCCTATGACTTGCCGCGATCCCATAAGGAAATAGTCAGGCACTGAGTCCAATTTCAGGGCTCTTTCTGCCTCTCTGTGGGTGTCTTGTTTCCATGATTTCCCCTGCCTTCTACCCCAAGCAAGGAGTGACCCAGATTCCTTCTGGCCCTGAATCTCTACTCAGCTCATGGCGGGTGTCAGATTGGTCATTCGAGCCAGAATGAGGTCGTGTAGTTCAATCCTTTCTTTTTATAGATGAAAAGAAATTAAATATGAAGAGTCAAATGAGATAATGCAAATGTTTTGCAAAATTTAAAGTACTATAATTTTATTTTTTATTATTTTTTGATAATTATTGATGTTTGCTATTAGAGTCAGAGTAGATAGGTGGTGTTGAGAATAGAGCGCCAGACTCAGAGTCAGGAAATTTATCGTTCGGTCGTTTTCAGTCGTGTCCAACTCTCCATGACCCCATTTGGGGTTTTCTTGGCAAAGATACTGGAGTGGTTTGCCATTTCTTTCTCCAGTTCCTTTTACAGATGAGGAAACTGAGGCAAAGAGGGTGAGGTGACTTGCCCAGGGTCCCACAGCTAATAAGTGTCTGAGGCCAGATTTGAACTCAGGAAGGCGAGTCTTGCTGATTCCCAGCCCGGCGTTCTGTACACTGTGTCACCTAGCTGCCTGGTTACCGACATCCTACTAGCAGAAAGATCAGAGTACTAGTATGGAGTGTATCCTGCAAAATGATCATCATGACTGTTCCCCAGAAATAACCAAATTCTTTTAATTCAAGCAACTTGAATTGTGTCATAGTCCTGGGCTCTGAGCCTTCTGGCCTGCTCCAGCTTCCTGTGTAACTTTAACTAGGTCACTTGAACTGGGTGGAAGTGTAGGCCCTTGGAGCATTTCCCTGTCAAGCCTCCCTCTCTTCTTCCCGACCCAAGGGCCACTCCCAGTACTTGGGGTAGAGCGTTAGACTTGGGACCAGGAAAACCCAAGTTCAAATCCTGCCTCAGAAACTTGCTAGCTGTGCGACTCTGGAAGAATCACACAACCTTTCTTAGCCTCGGTGTTCTCATCGGTAGAATGGGGATGACAGAAGCATGCGGACGGTATAAGTGAAAGCTTGTCAGAGTCCAGGGACCAGAGATGGAGTTCAAAGACATGGTGTTGGAGAGATGGGGTGGGGGGGCGGGTGGCGCAGCACGGGGCCATGACTGTGAAGAAAAGAGCCAGCCAAAATCATGCTTCAGGGCTCCTTCCAGGATTAGGAGGGACTTTGCTCTGCTCTTATTCCTGCTAAGTTAGGAGATACCCTTGGGGAAGGTCTAGAGGAAATAAATGCTCACCCCAGATTGTGCTGTGTCTCTGCCCTCCTGTGCTCACAAGGTTGTTGTGTAGATCCTAAAGTGTTATGGAAACAGAAATTTGACTCAATCGGGGAGGGCTTCCAGAAGGAGGCGGCTTTGAGAGATAGGGACGGGGTAGACTTGGGAGAGAAACTAAAAAGGCAAGAACTGAGGCAGAATGCCAAGAGACAAGACCAGAAGCTAAGGAAGGGAGGAGTGACCTCATTGGTGGGGAGGGCTGGTGGCCCACCCTGGACTAACCGGCCTGTTTGCTCTGCTCCCTTTCTCTCAGCTGCTGGCTCTCCTTGGAAGGGGGACTGCTGTACGCCTTCGTGGGACCAGCTGCTGCCGTTGTCCTGGTACTGCCTCCCCAGCATGGGCTCCTTTCTGATTCCCCATCGTCCCTTTCTAAAGGCCCTTTAGCCCCCTAGGTCTGATGAAGAGGTGACTTTATCTCACCATCCCCATCCATCCCACCAAAGATCCCAGGCATCAAGAGACCTGGGTTTTAGTTCCCGGCTTTGCTGGGTGACTTTGGGCAGGCTCCTGCTCCTGACGGGGCTGAAATTTTCTCCTCTGTAGAACAAGGGCATTGGTCTGTAAAGGCCCCTCCATCCCCAATAGTCTCTGTCAGAAGCTGCTAACTCACTGTCTGACTTGGGGGTCACCTCAATCCTCTGGGCTTGTTTTTCCAGCTGTAATGATCTCTGAGGCCTGTTCTAGCCCTGGACAATCTGGGATTCTCCTCACTCCTTCCATAACCTTGCATAAGCCACTCCCCCCTTCTCAATTTCTTCACCTGACAGCCTGGGCTCAACAATCTCTAAGGACCCATTCCCACCCGAACAGTCTAAGGGTTGAAATCTCTATAACAAAATATTGCCAAGTACAGACCCTGCTTTAATGAATAGATAAGAACCATTTGTCATTTGCACACAGGGTAATTCGGTTTAATAGGCTTTCATCCTGGGCTTCCCGTACCTAATTTATCTGGATACACATCTGGCCCTGGGCTTAGCTACACAGTGAGGGAGACTAGAGGAGGGGGCTGAGTGACTTACCTTGAGGTCATGCAGTGTGACACTGCTGATCATGGCTATGTTTACTATTTCTCTTATCATCTGGGCCTCAGTTTCCTCCAGTGTAAAATGGGAGCCGTAATACCTGTTCTGCCTGTTTAGGATGAGTTCCTGATTACGTATCATATCTTTCTAAGTTCCTTCATCCCCCTTTCAGTCATTTTCCAGTCCTGTCCAACTCTTTGCGATCCCATTTGGAGTTTTCCTGGCAAAGATAATGGAATGGTTTACCATTTCCTTTTCTAGCTCATTTTACAGATAAGGAAACTGAGGCAAACAAGGTTAAGTGACTTGCCCAGGCTGAGGGAGAGATGTCCTTATCTCACCATTCCCTTCTATCACAACAAAGGTCCCAGGAATCAATGCAACCGGTTCAAATCCTGGCTCTGTTGATGACTCAATGTTTGGCTTTGGGCAAGTTCCTGCTACCCTCTGGGCCTGTTTTCCTCTATAGAAAAAGGGCATTGTTCTGTGTTTGACTGCAGATTAACCCTGCGAGGAAACCCACAGCCTAGTATAAGAATTAAAAAAGACTCACATTATGGTACTACAACATACACTTGTTTCTCCTTTCACTACTCTTAAGACATCTCTGGGTTTAATCAGCAACCCTTCTTTTTAGGGAAACTAATTTAGTAAATGAAGCAGATGAATCAAACAAACTCCAATTCAATTTGATTAAATTCAGCAGGTTTTTATTAAGCACCTACTAAGTGCCGGGCTCCATTTTGTGCACTAGGGATACAAAAACATAGTTGTCCCTGCCCTCAAGGAGTTTGCATTCTAGAGTACAAGACATAAGAATACACTTAGGTAGTACAAAACATATTCCAAGTGATTTCAGAAGACCACTAATAACTGAGCATTTAGTAAGTGCCTACTGCGTGCCTGCCCTTGGGTGAGGCACCATGGGGAGAGACAAAGTTTAGAGAAGAGTCTAGCCCCATCCTTACAGAGCTTTCAGTCTAGCAGCGGGTTATGGCACAAACACAGATAATTCTAATGCCCAATATTATATGATAAGGGTATTGGAGATGTGCTAACAAATTCTGTTGGAAATCTGAGGGGGAAGGTCATTATGGACATTTGGGGTAAAGGAAGGCCTCTTAGAGAAGGTGGAATTTGAGCTGACTTTTAAAGGAGAAATATGTAGGAATTCAAATGGATGGAAGAGGAGGGCATTCCAAGCATTGGAAACAGGATGAACAAAGACCCAGAGTCAGGAAATTTCAGGGTGTATTGGGGGTAGAGGGTAGAACAGTGTGGCTGGAAAGATAGAGCGTGCCCAGATTGTGTAGGGCCTTCAGTGCCAGACCAAGGAGTCCAAACTTTAGACAATAGGAACCCATGTAAAGATTTTGAGCCAAGAAGTGACAAGACAAAAGCTTTACATAAGGGAGATCACTCTGGCAGTTTACAGCAAATCGATAGATTGAAGAAGAAAACAAGACAGAGAAAGAGGGAGAGAGATAGAGATAGAGAAAGAGGGAGAGGGAGACAGAAAGAGAAAAAGGAGGAGGGGAGAGAGAGAGAGAGAGGGGAAGAAAATGTAGAAAAGTCAAGGCTGGAAGTGTTAGAGCTTGTACAAGGGCAGGGTCCATGGGAATAGAAAGAAAAAGAAAAACAAGAAAGATTTTGCAGAAGTGGAGTCAATAGGCTTGGTTAACAGTTTAGGATAGTATCACATGGCCTCCTCCCTCATGGTTGGGGTGTGAGGAGACCTGGGCCTGAGGATGTATACATTATAACCAATTCTGCATAATAGCCCACTATCAGATAGCTCAAAATTTAGCAAATCATGCCCTACCTGCAACCATACACACATGTGGTCAGTCAAGCAGCATTCATTAAGCACCTACTATGTGCTAGGCACTGTGCTAAGCACCAGGCATACAAAGCAAGGTTAAAAAAACAAAAAGCAGTCCTGGCTTTCAAAGAGCTCACAGCCGAACAGGGAAGACAACATGTGAAGCAGCGACGACAAGCAAGATATATACGGGATAAACTGAAGATGATCGGTGGAGGGAAAGCACTAGCATTAAGAGGGGATCAGGAAAGGCTTTCTGTAGAAGGTAAGATTTTAACCTGAGCCTAAAAGGAAGGCCAGGAAGCCAGGAGGCACAGATGAGGAAGGAAAGTCTCAGTCCCTCACTCTCTCTCCTCTCTCTCTCTTTCTCTTCTTCTCCCCCTCTTTCTCTGTCTCTCTTTTGTCTTCCTCTCTCCTTTCTCTTTCTTCACCCTCCCTCTCTTTCCTCTCTCTTCTCTCCTTTCTCTTTCTTTTCCCTCTCTTCCTCCCTCCATCCCTCCCTCTCTGTCTGTCTCTTTCTCTGTCTCTGTCTTTCTCTCTCTCCCTTTCTCCCCTCTTTCTCTCTCTTTTTTCTGTCTCTATTCTCTCTGTCTCTTTCTTTCTCCCTCTCTCTCTTTCTCTCTCTTTTCCCACCCCACTTCTCTCTCTCTTCTTTCCCTCTTCTCTCCTTTCTCTTTCTTTTCCCTTCCTTCCTCTCTGTCTCTTTCTCTCTTTCTCTGTCTCCCTGTCTGTCTTTGTCTCTCTCTCTCTCTCTTTCTGTCTTCTCTCTGTCTCTTTCTTTGTCCCTTTCTCTCTTTCTCTTTTTCCCACCCCCATTTCCCTCTCTTTCCCTCTCTCTCTCTCTGTCTCTCTCACACACACACACACACACATACACACACACACAGATGAACACACTCCCTTTAACCAATAAACATTTAATAAGTACTACACTGTGCTAGGCACTGAGGAAACAAATGAAAATTACGTACTTCCTGCCCTCCTTCTAGCCTTACATTCTAACTGAGGAGATAGACTGTGTGTACACATATATACACATATACATAGATAGAAAATCAACATAAGGTAATCTGAGGAGGGGGCAGCTAGGTGGATAGAGGGCTGGGCCTGAAGTCAGGAGGACCTGAATTCAAATCTGGCCTCAGATACTTACTAGCTGTGTAACACTGGGCAAGTCACTTAAATCTATTTGCCTCAGTTTCCTCATCTATAAAATGAGCAGGAGAAGGAAATAGCAGACCACTCCAGCGTCTTTGCCAAGAAAACCCCAAATGGGGTCACAGAGAGTCAGACATGACTGAAAGGACTGAACAACAATCATTTGAAGAGGAGGAGGCACTAACAGCTGGGGTAATAAGGAAAGGACTCATGTGGAAGGTGGAGCTTGGACTGAACTTTACTGGGGGTTAGGGATTCTCAGAGGAGTAGGTGAGGGGGGAGGGCATTCCAGGCATGGGGGTCAGGCTATGCAAAGACAAGGGGATAGCAGATGGATTGTATAGTGTGAAGGGCAGCAAGAAGGCCTACTTGGCTGGACCATAGAGTGTATTAAGGGGGGGGGTGCTGTCTAATAAGCTTGAAAAAGCGGTCTGGGGCCAGGTTGTGAAGGGCTCTAAATGCCAAACCTAGGAGTTTGTTTTTTGATGGTGGGATTTCCACTGAGAAAGAAAAGGAGAAAAAAAACTTTGCTGGGGCAGAAATAGCACAAACAAACCCGGGGCCTAGGAAAGCCTGGGGCCCATCCATTTACAGGGATTTGGCAAGATCCAATGAGACAGTGGATTTGAAGTCCCTTTTTACGTTATAAAGTGCCATGTATGTGGGAGTTCCACCCTCCCACCCTGCCCCGGCACACATCCTGTACTTTTGGCTCAGGGAGAAGATGCTATGGGATTTTAGAACTGGCAGGTCCTTGGAGATCATAGCATGACTCCCTCATTTTACTGAGTAGGAAACTGGAGCACAGAGATGGGGGATGACTTTCCCCAGGTTGCACAGCTCTTAATGCAGAGCCAGGTCTCCTGACTTCCAGCCCAGGATCCTTGTTGCTCTCTGATGTTGCCTCCCAGGTTCTCTTCCCTCAAGGGTGTGGCGATCCCCAGCAGAGCTCCCTGCATCCTTCCTTCTTGAAGATACCAAAGAGGAAAAACCTAGAGAGAGCTTGGTGGGGGGAAAGACGCACCTTCATTATCTCAGCTTAAACAGAATTAACTTTTCTTCCCTCCTTCCCCCCACCCCCCTACCCACCCCGCAAGGCCCCATTGATGATTCCTCTTTTGGTCTGGACTCTTAACACTCACAGGCTAAGAGAATGTGTCCAGGCCCAGAGGGAAATTCCCTTTCAGTGCCCACCCCACCCCGACACAGGTAGGGCCTGTTTTAAGCCAACCCAGTATTTCCATTTTTCTTATTTTGACAGAACTTTAGACTTAAAAACCAGACAAATCGAGGGCAATTATTCACATCCTTGGCT